CACAGCTGTGAAGTTGGGAGGTTTTAGAAAAACGGAAGGGAAGAAGTTAGCAGGGTGTCTACTGCGGTTTGGACGAGAAATGTCTACAACAGTCCTGGCTGTTCCCACCAGGTGGTGGCGCTATGTGAAGAGCTTATGGGGGGGGGTCTTGTTAGAGGAAGTATATCACTGGGAGGGCAGGCTTTGAGAGTTAAATGACCCCACTGCCTCCAGTTCACTCTCTGCTTCCTGCTTGCATTTAGAGATGAAATCGCTTGGCTTCCTGACACCGTGCCTGCTGCCTGTTGTCACATCCACTCCATGATGGACTTTTACCCTCTGGGACCACAAACTGAAGCAAACTCTTCCCGCCGTGAGGTGCCCTGGTCATGGTATCACAGACAGCAACAGAGAAGCAACTAAGTGTCCACGTACATAGTGTCTGCCCTGCTGAAAGCGAGGTCATTTCTAAGACAGCTCTGGCCTTATCTTTCAGGCGCCATGACAGGACTGTCAACACCGTTACACGCAGTATAAAACCCATGAGAAGGTTCCCTAGAGACGGCAAGAGGCAGTACGAAAGAGAGCCAATTGCGTGCAGTTATCCCTTCTCCCACATTCCCTGCTGTCAATCACGGCAGTATCTTAACATCAACACCGTAGGACTACTTACCCCAAAGATGTGGTAAGTGCCGCCCCTCCACCCAGAGGTGGAGTTGTCAAATCATGTATAAAACAACCTGCTAGCTAAAACAGAATTTTCAATAAAAAAATGAATCCATACATATTCCCTATGATAAATAAGTAGGATATTTCTAAAATTAAACTTTGATGGATGTCCTGGATTTTAATTGTCAAACACAACAACTTCACTCACTTACAGAGCTACAGCTAGCACGTGTGTGCTCCCTCACACCATTCTGTAGTCCATCTTTGCACAAACATTCAACTAATGCATTAGGGTTTTAATATCAGACGTCTAGTAACGTATTTAGGGGAGCTTATCGGCTATTAAATTGTTCATTTATTAATTGTGATGGTTGGAGGTAACTGTCAGCTTGAACAAACCAGGAATTACCTGGGATATGGCCCTCTGCACATGTGGGGGTGTGTCGAGGTAGGAAAACCTACACTATAACAACAGTACAGAAATGGAGTCAAGGGAGAATTCTGCAGGCTTGTGAGAACACTCCAGGAAAACAGGACACAGTCTTGTAACCTCATTTTCTTCAAAACACCAAATTGCTCTTGGGATGCGTTCCCACGCTCCTTCCAGGTGCTGCAGACAGGAGTTTCCTTCGGGTTACTCACGACTACTTGCTGCCATTATCCAGTTAAATGTTTAACTCTGTGGAAAGCACATTTTTGCCACATACTGTTCGTTTTTTTTATTGTACACAGCTTGAACCCAAGTGAACTGTTCCCATGCGAACTCCCTGAACTCTCAGACGACAAATTGTCTGCTGCTGAGAGAAGCTGACCATTGCATGAGCCTGCAGTCTGCCTCATTTAGCAGCTCCATTCTCCCAGGTCCCACTACCTCTGGAGCAGTGACTCCACCCGCTATGGCTGTCACCATTCTTTGGGTGGGATCCTGGACTGCATAGCTGGAGAGAGGGAGCTGAGCAACACACGTGCATTCATTGGCTCCTTTCTTTATGACTCTGGGTGTGATTTGCTTCAAGCTCCTGCTGCCTTGCTTCTCCACCATGATAGATTGTTGCAATTTTTTAAAATAAAAGTAGCGCAAGAGAGAAAGATGCCATGTGACAGAGCGCAAGTGAGGGTTTTTTTTTACTGGGGGAAATTGAATGGGAAAAGGGGGGAGAGGAGAGGGAAAATCAGCCTCTGGGGACAGGAGCACAGAAGAGAGGAGAGAAAAATAGAAAGAAAGAGAGAAAGAGATAGAAAGAGAGAGAGAGAGAGAGAGAGAGCGCGCTGGGAGGTGGGCAGGGCCCTTTTAAAGGGGGACTTGGTGAATGTGTGTAGGAAGTGCTCTTGGTGGCCACAACTGAGGACACAGCCTGTCTGAACCCCAAGGGCAGGCCAGTACAGATGCCTGAATGCTAAGAGACTGTACCTCGAATTGTGAGCTATACCAAAGCCTTTCTCCCTTAAGCTGCTTCACTCAGGGTATTCCATCGCAGCCATGGGAAAAGAAACAAAGATGCTAGCCCTAATTTGAAGACAAATGCCTGCCATATCAGTTCCCTAGCTCCAGGAACCCATGTGTCTTAGTCAGGGCTACTAATGTTATGATGAAATGTCACAGCCAAAAGCAGGATGGGGAGGACAGGGTTTATTCCGCTTTCATTTCCACATCACAGTCCACCATGAAAGGAAGTCAGGACAGGAACTCAAACAGGGCAGGACCCTGGAGGCAGGAGCTGATGCAGAGGCCATGGAGGGGTGCTGCTTACTGGTTGTTCCTGGGGGCTTGCTCAGTCTGTTTTCTTATAGAAAACAGGACCACCAGCCCAGGGATGACACTAACCACAATGGGTCGGACGCCTCCCTACCAATCACTAATTAAGAAAATGCCCTACAGGCTAGCCTACAGACTGATTTTATGAAGGCATTGTCTCAACTGAGGCTCCCTACTTCCAGATGATTCTAGCTTGTATCGAGTTGATATAAAACTAGCCAGCACAACTGTCTGCCTATTACTTCAGGAAATCCCTGCTCATGCTCTGTGGCGGATCTTGGCAGCACAAGAAACCAAGAGAAGTGTGGGAACCTGTCCTCCCTGATCCTTGAGGCCAAAATACTGGATGCAAATAATGTTTACGCTAACCAGCTAAGCTTCCTGCTAGTTCTGTCCTTGGTTCTGCTACAGCCTGGTACATTAGCCTGAGGGATCTATTTTACTTTAAAATGGTAATTTCTCAACCTGCCTCAAAGAAGCTCAGGCGCCAAGGCCCATCTAACCTGTCTGACATTGCCTTAAACCCTCGACCACCTGCCTGGGGAAAAACTCCCACAGAGGCCAGTTTCCCCAGCCCCCTCTGGGTGGGAGGAGTTTTCCTTTACTGGGGCCAAAGGTATTTTAACCCTGGATTTAGTTGAATAAAGGGGCATTCTCTTCTTGAGGATGACTGGAACTCTGTATCTGTGTGTGTGCGTCTTGTGTTTTAACCCCTAGGACAATATGGAACTCGTGGGATGTGGGTGGCGTGGAAGGATGACCCCTACAGAGAAGAATATATTAGTTATTTTCCTATTGGTGTGACAAAACCCATGGTGAAGACGACTTCCGGGAGGAACGGTTTGTCTGGGGCTTACACACAGGAGGGATCAGAGTCCATCACCATGCTGGTGAGAGTATGACGGGGCAGGCATGGTGGCAGGAACACCGCAAGCTCACATCTCGTCCCACAAGCAGCAGGTAGAGAGAGATTAAGTTGGGAATGGAACACGATTTTTGAAGCATCAAAGACATACTTCCTCTAGCAGGACCACACCTCCAAATTCTTCACAAACACTGACACCAACTGTCGACAATATATTCAAATACCTAAGACGACAGGGAACATCCCATTTAAAACAAAGACTCTCACAGGCACCTTCAGAAGAGCGAGGTGAGGAGCAACACCTTCATGGAACCCATCAGGGGAAGGCTGGTAAGGATTCTTATGTAAATCTGATTTGAGTCTGATCGATGTCAGAGAGGGGCCCCCATACTTCAGGAACCTCTTACTTTGTCTTGGAGAGGCAGGTGGGCCTTGGGAATCACCCCTTAATAGCCCGAAAGGAAATGTCCCTGATAGTCTCACATTTCTGAACCCTTGGGCTCCAGATGCTGGTGACATTTTAGGAGGTTTTAGAAACCTTGGGACTGGGGCCTAGCTAAAAGAAGTGGTTGCCAGGGGTGAAACGAGGGCAATGACTACCCTGGCTCCAGCCTGAGATATTACAGCAACCACAAGCTCCCATCACCCTGGAGTAGACCGCTCCCCCACGCCGTCCCCACCATGATGAAGCTATGAGCCACTGTAAATCCCTCTTGCCTTGAGTGTCTTCTGTCATGTGCCTTGCTGCAGTAATGAGAAGAGTGATTGGTATAAGCTGTAAGACCCTACCAGAGGGAGCCAGAGTCCCGGATGATGACTGTAGAGATGACTGTGGATACAGAAATGAGAGTCCTTTGTCTTGCTCATAAGCACATATACTTCTTAACAGCCATTACAAAAATAACTTGGAAATACACTTGAAAGAAATCAAAAAGGCAGTTAATAAATTATAGTGTTAATGATTATCCTAGAGTTAATTACATGTGTATGAGTGTGAGTATCTTCCTACTTTGGATAGGTGACAATTTCTTACACAGTGTAAGGAAAGCATTAACCATAAAAGGAAATATCAATAATTAGAGTACACCCGGCATAAACATAGGAACTTCCATTCACCAAAAGACACTTCTAAGGAACTGAAAAGGTAGGGCTGGATAGTTCATCGGTTAAGAATACTTGCTCCTCTTGCAGAAGAGGACACCGATTCTGCTTCCTGCAGCCACATGACAGCTCACAGTCAAATGTAACTTCATTCCAGGGGATCTGATGCCTTCTTCTGGATTCTGCAGGCACTGCATGTGTGTGACACCCACGCACACACTCTGACACACATGCAAATACATAAAATAAAAAAACAAAGGTGTATAAAAATAAAAAGGTGCGTGTAAAATGTTTAATAAGAAGGTGTAGGAGTAAACATCTGTAATTTATTTGACCAAAAATATGGAAATAATTCTGTTATATAGTTATTAAGAAAAAAAAGGCACCTCAAAAACCACCTTAAGTAGTCACTGATGCAGTCTTCAACCCGTTAAAGGTGAGGGGCTGCGCTGCCTCCCAGTCACACTCTGTCCAGTCTCTTCCTGGGCTCCAGCCTGCGACAGAGTGGTAGTGTTTTACCCCAAGGGTCATTTAACAGACTTCACAATAAGGCCTTGGCTAAGCCAGTTATGACATGGTAAGTGCTTTTGGCTGTCCCTTGAGCGCCCATGAAACTGTGTCAGACACAAACTCCAGGCAGTAACACCTCCTGCCCTAACCTATTGCCAGAGTATGATTAAAGAGTGGGAAAATCGCTTTCAGAGGCTCAGAAGCCAGAGAGCTGGACATCTGAAGGCCCAGGAACGGACCCCTGCTGAGGGAGAGCAAGATAACAGAAAGCTGTCCAAGACCTGCAGTGTCAGCTACCCCTTGATAGTTCAAGAGGTTCCATACCACAAAGAGGACCTCTGCACTGCATCACCTCTGGGGTGAGTATGGCTTGGGTACCCAGCCCATTCCTAGGTGTCCTCAGCCTAGTTAATATAGAACCACCACCTGCCAGTTTCTCACCACGGGAAGAAACTAGAAAGACCCTTTCGAGAGCTCTAACTCATCGCCCCCTGCCTTCCAGGATATGGACGGCATTCTACAAATCAGATCCTCGCATCGCCCTTGGGAAATACTCCCCAATGGAACAAGAGATCCAAGTAAGTGCTCTCAAGTTTGCATGGGCAAAGTCTCTTTGAAGTCTGCCTGTAGAGGTAGGAGGAATCCCAGGGTTCCAAATCTACAAGAGCTGGTTCCAGGCTAGGCTCCAAAGTCACAGTGAAACCCTGTCTCGAAAAACAAAAACAAACAAAAAGCAAACCAAAAATAAACCACCAATCACAGGCATGTGACGACTGACGGATTTCACTCTCTGAACATCCCAATCAGGAGTACAGCCATACGGTACCGGAAAAATAGCTCAGAGGGTGAGCACCCTGGCTGTGCAAACGTGAAGACCTGAATCCTTAACACCTATGTAAAAAGGCCGGGCATGAGTGTGTGTGCTGTGACCCTGGCACTGGGGAGCAGAGACAGGTGGACCCTGGGAGATCGCTGGCCGGCCAGCCTAAACAAAATGGCAACTTCTAATTCTGTGAGAGACGATTTCTCAAAGGAATGTGAAAGGAAGTGATAGGTGAAGGCACCTAATGTCTACTTCTGGTCTCTGAATGCACAGGCACCCACCCCCTATATGTCAGCAACACGTACACATACTCAAACAGAAAACACACACCGAAAAACATATAACTGTGATACTAGATTATGAAACTGTCGTTTCTTGAGTACTCACTTGGCACTATATTGGACTTCGAGTGTAACACATCCTCCACGTGTTCATGTCTTTCAACACATGACTCCCAGTTTGTGGCACAGTTTTGAGAGGTTATGGAACTTTAAGGGGGTGATGTCTAATGGTTGAAGAAGGACGGGGTCATGGGTCCCTGAGGATGGGCCTTCTAGTTTTTGCCTGGCCTTTGTTCCTATCCTGATCCTCTGAGATGTGGGCAAGCTGCTCCATGCACCCACTGCCATGGAGCCACCTGCCACCGTGCCTTCCCTACCATGATGAGTTGTGTCCCCTCAAACTGTGAGCCAGAGAGAGTGCTTCTCCTTTGAATTCCTTCTTCCCGGGTGTTTAGTCACCCTGATAAGAACATAACACACGCACAGGCACACACACGCGCAGGCACACACACGCAAGCATGCACGCGCACACATACACACTAGTCTCACATATATTTTCTTTTGGTACTTCACAGTAATCTTTGTAAGGTCAATAAAATGAATCTAAATCCATAGTGGATGGAAGGAGAGCCAGGCTTTGCACCCAGACCTATTTGACCCCCCAATGTCTACCCTCTTTCTCATTCAGTGCTCTTGGCAGTGAAGGGAGAACCAGCCGCAAGCTAATTTTCTTTCCACAAGGTGCTGAGATTTCTAACCATCTATGTTCTATTTTCAGCATCTTGGTGGCGTTCACACTATAGCAGCCAGGAGATTTTTGGCTGACCAACACAAGAAAGAATGGAAGATGCTGAGGGAGCTACGGGCACAGTCTTCGGACTACAAAAAGGCGAAAGAATATAGAAGAGAGTCCTCTTCTCTGTGTTCTGCGTGTGGATCCCAGGAGAAAATATGGACAGCCAAGGTGATTCTGCCTACAGAGGAGTTCAAGATCCCCCACCGAGAGCTGACCGACATCAGCAAGCATATCAAAAGGATACAGCTGGCACGAGCCCTGCAGAGTAAGCCGTTTTCTCCATACATTGAAAGGCTCCAGAATGCCACATTGCGGTCCGGCCCGGAACCGGGTTCCACCGCCACAGACAAATCCAGTGAAGACGGAGATAACTACGAGAGGGAGAGGGATAGTTCTGATAAAGGCAGCCAGGAGGAGAAAGGGGAGGCAGAGCTCAAACCCACCAAAACACGAGAAATTACGATGGACGTCATTTTCAAGTCAGAAGAACCTAAGGGGTGTTTGATATGCCATCGGAACGACCGGAAAACGTTCCTCCCTGGGAAGAGACGGGAGCGGCGCATCACAGGCCTGACCAACAGAAACCTCTTCCCCATCACTGGCTTTCCTGGGGACCTGATGCTCATGAACCAGGACTTTATATCACGGGGCATTCACCCGAGTGACGCCATTAAGATGTACTGGCTGCCAGAAGAGGATACCTGCAAAGTGCGCAAACACAGCGCCGCCCGCTGCCTAATGTGAAGCTCTAGTCCCGAGCATGCGCAAGTGTCCTGCTCTGAATTTCTCCTGCACACCGCGTCCCCAGGTCCCTCCTCCCTGCTCTTCTCCTGAGCTCCTTGGCTTCTCCTGCTCTGTCTCCATGGTGTCTCCAAGATGAGACCCTGATTCTGAAACTTCCTTGTTTCCAGCAACTCTTGAGTCTGGCCCCCCACGTCACCCCACTATCAGAAGATCTACTTTGTGGGCTTGTCCCCGCTGGGCAGGCTGCTTTCTTGATCCTGGGTAGTCACTGAAAAACTGAAGTTGCCCACCAAACGCTGAGTCCTGGCACTAGGAAACAACCCAGATGTGACAGGAAATAGATTCCCAGCCTCCTCCAAGGGATCTCCTGGCTCAATCTGAGCCTTGGGCATAGATAGGAACTTCAGCTTTAGTGGTGGGGGGGAGGAGGCAGCTAGAGCAAATAAAGGGGTTTCCCTTCAATGACAAAACTCTGATGTTTCCTGCATGTGTGCCGATGGATTGCATATATGACTGGTGCATAGAGGCCAGAAGAGAATGTTGGGAGGATGCCTTCTTTATGGGTGTGTGTACGTGTGAATGTCTGCAGGGAGAACTCAGCCTGGCAGCTTGGAGATATGCGTGAGACACTGCTGAAATCTGTCTCCTCATCTTGAGTGACACTGGCCAAGCTGAAGCTTCTGGGGTGCTGCCAGGTCCCCCGGGCGTTCTGGAAAAGAAGAGTAAAGTGACAAGTTCCCGTTTGCCTTTCTCAACAAGGCCCTGGGAACCAGTGGCTCCTTCTTTTCTGTCCTGAAAGTCTCCAAGGAAGGATAACTAGTTGACCATGGTCCAGCATGACTTGAGGAGGTTCCAGCTCTCTCTAATGTGTGGGCCTCGCACCTGGAAGGTGAGGCAGTCTAGGAATCGCAGGACAGGGGTGAGGAGCTGAGACTAAAAGGCTTGCCGGCCTTCTCTAGATTTCAGTGGCAGAACCAGAGCCAGCTCCCACTTCCTCCCTGACTGATTTATACAAGAACTCTGTGCTTATCACTCTAGGCACAGAAACAAGCCCATGTGTAACAGCGGAGATCTAGGAGCCCTTGGGCAACCCCTTGGGAGAGCGGGTGTCCAAATGGACAGATATGCAGCTCCCTTTATTACAAATCCCACTAGGATCCTCATGGTTCATTCCCAGGGCAGTGCCCATGGTGACAAAGTGTTTGCTACAAGCCCTTGAGGAACAGTCCACAATGCGGCGCCCCAAAGGGTTATACATAATGCTCTCTCACTGGGCACACATCCAGTAGAATCCAGAACATGTGTCCACACACAAGCTCCGACATGAGTATTCATAGCCGTTGGCTTATGGTAGCCTCAAAGTGGAGACAACCGAAGCGCCCCTCTGATGATGAGTGGTGAATGGAAAGAGGTAAGGGCCGTGCAATAAAGTCCTTTTCAGGGGTGTGAAAGATTAGGAACTGATCAAGATCCGAGCGTGAATACAGAAATGTCATGCTAAGGGAATGAAGCCAGTCATGGAAGATCACACACTTTCTGCTTCTACTTATGTGTGATGCCCGTGCTTCTACTTATGTATGATGCCCGTCAGAGTTCTCTCTGCACAGAAGCCCCGCCTAACCCTTTCCTGCCTAGCTTTTTATTAGATCACCTTGGGCAGGCAAGGTGAAACAGATACAGCGCGTCTTTACATAACTAAACAAATGCAGCAGACAGCAAAGGAACACATCTCTACACAGTTAAAGTAATATTCCACATTACAAACAAACATAACACAGCTTTGCCTAGTTAAAATAATATTCCACAACACAAGGCAGTGGCTGCCTGGGGAGACAGAAAGGACTGTGTTTTCTCGAAACACCCAAAGTTTTGATAGCACAATATCCTCTCAGCAGGAACGCCTGGATTAAACCTTGGTTTCTGAGGATTTCTGAGCCCCACATCTTTGTCCTGGACACACTGTTTCTAAAAGTGTCCTTAAACAGCCTCCCGCATCTCTCCTGTGGGTCTTTCCTCCACTTCCCTGTAAAACTTGAGGCATCTATCTGTCCAAACTTGCCGGCAGCCTCCAGCCCATCTGGTCTCTGTGCTGACCCCAGGCTGCCCTCGCTCCTCTCCAGGCGGCCTCACTTTCCTTCCACAAAGACCAGTGGGAGGTTTGCAGGGTGTGTTATAAAGAGCCTCCTCTACATGGTTCCCCTCTCTTGATCGAGAACTCCAGTTTGTTCAGCTAGCCATTCCTATCCCAAGAGGAAACTGAGTCAAACCCTGCTTGGAAGCTAGCCCAAGAGCAATGGAGACAAGGTATAAGTGATGGCCAGGAGCCCCACCATCTATATCAGTGTCTACTGCAGACATGGATGTGATAAACACCGAACAATGACTCAGAGTCAGGTGTGGTGCAGAGGGAAGTGAGAAGAGCCGCTCGCCATTTGCTGCCTACTGAGAGGGAGGGCAGCTCTTAGAGGGCAGAGCAAGGCCAGGCAGGGAGGAGCACCAGGCATCTACCTGCTGCCAGTCTGCTGCCATTGTATGTCGTTTCAGAAGATGATCCCCGTACTCCTTTACACCCACCAGAGACTGGCTTTCCGAGACCTGCCACTGCAAGGGCTCATAAGTACATAAAGTGCCTGTCTCTTAGAGAGTCGGAAGAACACAGTGTTCTACCTGCTGGCACCCCAAGTTGAGACTTTCTCAGCTTGTTCACGCTTGGAGACGCTACATAGCTTGGGCAAAAGGTCACGAAGCACCATTCAGGTCTCTCTGACAAAATAGAGTAGATAGATGATAGATAGATGATAGATAGATAGATAGATAGATAGATAGATAGATGATAGATGGATGATATATGGATGGATTAGATAGATAGATAGATAGATAGATAGATAGATAGATAGATAGATGGATGGATGGATGGATGGATTAGATAGATAGATAGATAGATAGATAGATAGATACATACATACATACATACATACATACATACATACATACATATGGGAGAGGGAGGTGCTCAGTTGGTATTTCACCAAAATCTCTGTAGCAGTCACAGCTGCCAAAAATCTCATTCAAAAAGTAACAATAATCAGAGGGAAGCATGCAAAATATTTCAATTGAAGAACACCCATCCTGAAGGTTTACATGAAATTATTCCTAATGTTTTCCCTGGCTTTAAACTCCACCACTTCAGCTTTCAAAAATCCAACCGACCATGGAAAACCGAAGGACACGTCTCAGGTCACTGAACCATATATTAGCAACCACAGCGGCAACTCCATTCTCTGTGACAACAAATAACCACAATGCCATTCTGCGTGATTATTGCTAATCTTTGGTAGGAGCTCAGAAGTCCAGGTGACGTTGACCCAAATGTCCGAAAGACTTCCTTCTGGGGAAGATATCCATATTCCTACACAGATTAATCCATGCTGTGGCTGTGCTTCTTTTCCCTTGAGTACTCAGCAGTAATTGTAACAAGAAGAGCACATGGCGTAAGACACGTGTACAAACCCAAATGCATCCCTCCACTTCAATAAGCCTGTTACTCACCATTTGGTAAATCCTTTTCCCGCAAGGGGCACAGCTTTTAGCTTTTAAATCAGCTATTATCGTGAAAGCCTTTTCCATCGCAGCGTCTAACAATCCAACTCGCCGCCTATTAGAGGCTGTTTCAGTTATTTTTGATATTCTGTGGAGAGTGTGAGGTACCCTTTCCTGCTTAGAGGGGAAATTTCCCCTCTTTGAACCTGAAATGCTTTCAAAGAGGATAGATATTGCCTTTCAAGAGGGATAAGGCTGCCATCGTCTTAAGAGCCGTGATGGTCTCCAAAGACTCCTAATGCAGAGAAAAGCATTAGCCACTTTACATTGCCACCTTAATGAGTACTTAGCTCATAGCTGGCCAAGGTAAATGTCACAAACTTAGGAATTATTTTTCTTTGTTAAAAAAAAAGTCCATCTGATCTCCACACTGTCCTTCCTATCTCCGCTGATCCTGCACAACACGCGTGTGGGATGTACATGCCTCTTATTACCATTCTCGAGGTTAACACAAAACACACCTATATTTCTACTGGAGCCAGGGGACAATTACAAGCAAACTGATAGACTAGAACATTCTTAGTTCTTATTTCCTCCCATAGAAACAATCTGGTAACCATTAAGAATTGAGTCTGAAAGGTTTCTCTCAGACTAATGTGGCCCCCAGCTAGTGGTGTTATAGGACCGGGTTGGAGGGAGTAGGCCACTAGAGCCGGTCCTTTGTCCTAGCCAGTTACTATTGCTGTGGTGAAACATCATGACCAAAGGCAACTTGGGAAGGAAAGGGTCTATTTGGCTTTCAGGCTAGAGTCTGTTATCTAGGAGAACTGAGGCAGGATCCAAGAGGCAAGAACCAAAGTAGAGGCCACGGAGGAACACTACTAATTGACTTGTTTCCCCCTGGATGCTTAGCTTTCTCTCTTATATAGCCCAGGACCAGCTACCTGGGGGTGGCACCACCCACAATAGACTGGGCTCTCCTACATCACTCATTATTAAAGAAAATGCCCCAATTCTAATTGAGGCATTTTTCTCAGTTAAGGTTCCCTCTTCCCTGGGAAGTGTCCAGTTGACAAAAAATAAACCAGCACAGAGGGTTCTGACCCATAGTGCAGGGTGGTGGTCCCTTCTAATAGGTGTCAGAGGAAGGGAGAGGTTTTTATACTGGTAATTGATGAGGAAGCCACAGTTGGGGCCACAGCCAGGCTGTCCTTGAGTCCTGGTGGCAAGAAGAGGGCAGAGAATTTCTCGAAAGGAATGTGTGCCTCTGAGGATGTGGAGGAGGAGGGGCAGACTACATGAAGTTGTACACTTTATACCAGTGGGGATAAGCTGGAACCAGTTGACCCCTGATGCTCCAAGAGTCAGATAACTTGAAATTCATAAACTTCCTTGGGGAAGTAAGAGTTAGCTGGGCCATTCTCCTGCAGTCGTTCTGGAAAGTTTGGGATCAGTCTAGGGACTAGAGATTCACAGACAGGCTCAGCTAATGGAAGAAAGAAGCTTCTTCGGGTAGACGTGGCAGCTGCCTCTAAACCCAGAACTTGAGAAGGGGGAGACAGAGCAAGCTGGCGTGATAGACAAGCAGAAGTGGGGTGCTCCCGGTTCAGTGTGAGCCCCTGTCTCAATAAAGTGAGAAGCTATCAGGGAAGATACCCAATGTCAAAACTTTGGGCGCACACATAGGGCAGGTCAGAGCATACCCACATGCACATCATTCATACAGGAAAGGAAGGAGAGAGGGAGGCCCAGCAACAAAACGGCACTAATGTTGAGCCGCAGCGCCCTCTAGCTTCCACAATTGGGATGGCTAAAGAGTTATGGCGAGCTGTCTGCCTGGAAGGAACCGGAAGGCAAGCTCTGACCCAGAAA